TATTGTAAATGTATCTAATCTGTGATTTCATTTTTCTATTTTGATTTAACAATAGTGGCTTTTATTGATATTAGTCGATTTATATTAATAATGTATTACTTAAGCGATCAACACAAACATTTCGTCATGTTTATATCGTATATGTTAAAATTGAAAGTATTTTTTTTTATAATTGTAAATTTTATTTTAAACTTATTTAACATACTGATGAAGAGAAAAGTTTGGATATACACGATTATTTTAATATAGATAAATATTCATGTTTTTTAAATTTTATTTGCATACAATATGATTTTTTATTTTATGTATTTGTCCATCACATTTTATAATCTATAAAAATTACATCACACACATACACATACACACAATTGAAAAAGTATTACTTTCTGATATATTTATTAATAACAGATATTTTTATTTTGTTGTGTATACAAAGTATATGTTTGACTTTTCTATCGCGTACAGTATGTATAACGAGCTGTTTAGAAACCGTTTTACAATTCAACAGAAAAAGGTATATTATTGCAATGTATGTCCTGATGTTTTATCCAAAGATATAGGAATCATAACTTCTCATGATAGACAATACGTATCTACGTAACGTGTTATTAATTATAAGACACTTAAACACAAAACCATAGAGACGTTAAAAACCACCGACTAATGTGCATTAGCAGTGACATAAATGTGAAATACAAGTGATTGTTTACAAGTTAATGTATCGTGAACCTTATGTATAGAACTAATTATGCGATTTATTTTCATGATGAATTATATATACATATATACATACACATGTATGTATATATATGTATATATAAGTCCTCGTACGGACTTAATAAATTTACGAAGTTCACTATATTCGACGCTTATAAGTATAGACACCTTCTATATAAAAGTTTAAGTTTCTTATGATACGAAAAAAAAGCAGATTAACAAAAGGAAGAGACAAAGAAAGAGAGAGAGAAAGAGAGTGTGTGTATTTTGGAGAGTTTTATAAATATCTGGGCCGACTTTGAAACATCAAATGTGAAATTTATATTGTCATTCGAAATAATTAACATTACTGTTTGTATTCTCTATTAATACATCTCCACTTCCTTGAAAGCACAAATTTTATAGCGAACATAAATTGAGGTGAAAACGATATAATTACAAGCCGCATGCAAATGCGTATCTCGATCGGATTATTTTTAGCATCATTTTATGTTAATAGATTGATATATCAAAAGCACAATGCTGTCAAGTGTGAGCAACAAATGTACACACACGAGACAAAGGAATCGAAATAGCCAATGTACATGGTATACAATCCGAAGAAATATTAGGATTCTAACATGTGAATTGTGCATACGCGTCTGAGGGTTACCATTTATCGTGCATGAATAATCACATTCGTGTTTACCATGCGCGTCAATTCAAATTTATAGACCGTCAATTTACATATTCTACTTCTCACTTGAAAAGAAAATGTATCAAAAATATAGCGAGAAACTAAACGAGGTATATAATTTAATGACATATTTTCTCAATGACGGAGGGCTTTGAGAATAATTAAGTGAGTCAATATTCGTTACTGTAAAGATAAAATTTATGCCAAAGGGATTGTGAAAACGTTTTTGATAAAACGAATTAGGTGATTACGTTGCAAATGATTGTGAGAATATATTATTTCGTTATTTTGTAACAATATATGTATAATTTAAAGCAGAAATCACTATGGCATTATCAGATTTATCTGATTTCTAGTCATATATACACACACACACAAAATATAGATAATTTTATTTCCACTCGAGGAAATTTTACTTTATTATTTTATTATAAGAAAAATATTATTTTTAATTACAAATCGAGTACATAACTGCGTTTGGATATTTCATGGATTTTGGACACAGTTGAACATAGTTGATTACATAGTTTACCTGAAGAATAAAAGTAAAATGTTCTCGTGAGACATTCTACATTGTACTGTTGTTATGCAACAATACAAATTATTTACTCATGCAATGCGTTTTGGCGTTATTATACGTAAAAATGTATGACTTATAGTTTATTACACGAACAAAAATATTCCGACAAAATAATATATTTATGATTTCATTTATGTGAAACTGCATTCTCTTTTAATCTCTCGATATATTTCGTATATGCATATATATACATATATATATGCATATATATACACATATGTATATATATTTATGTATATGTATGTATATATGTATGATATACCGTTATAGTATAACAACCGTACAATTTTTTCGTAGAATAACATCCGCGAGGAGAGATTGTTTCATTGCGATATTGTATTAGCAAATTATATTTTCTCAATATTTTTTTAAACAGCGTATATATACAGAGGAAATTTTCACGATGCAACGTCACTTCATTCGAACGATTGCTATCCACCGAGATGGATTTGATAGAATAATAAGAAAACTGTGCATTATACAGTTAGACCTCAAATTGTATATAAGTAGAAAACGAAAAGAGAAGCATATAAAAATATTTATTGCTTAAAAATGTATGATAAAATATAGATCATAGAGAGCGATATATATATATATATATATATATATATATATAAAAGAAAATATTGTAATACCCGATACACGTGTGTGTGCATGCGCGACGAATGTATGTGAATCTTTATGAATGTGTTTGTGCGCATGTATGTAGGTATACATTTGCCACCCCTGCGTATAGAAATTATATACATGTATACATACCAATCATTATATATATATAATGATTGAAACATACTATATATATACATATATATATATACATATATATATATATACATATATATATATGTATGTATATATAATATGTAGTTAGAGCGACTGTACTGTTAGATGATATTCGAATAATGTTGTATAGTAGATTTTGATTGCTATAATTATATTGAATGGGCCAAAGTTGTAACAAATTGTCTTTATTTGACTAATCAATTGAGATAAGTGAAATATAATAATTTATCAAACGTCGCATATATATGTGTGTGTGTATATACATATGCATATATATATATATATATATGCATATATATAAAGCAGAATTTACGATAATTCATGCTGAATTGCAAGACCACTGATTTTTAGTACAACTGCCGTCACTTATTTTGTAGTTCGAAATTATATGCATTCTCCAAAATAAATAACAATGCGAATTTTTCTTTTTTGTTTGTTATCGTTATAACGATCAGCGCACGCGCAAATAATGGAGTAATATATGAAAAAAAAGTGAATGTACATTTAATATTAAGAAAGTCAATTCAATGTCTTGCCTTTCGACGGACTCTCCTCGAGGAAAAGTGTAATCTTCTAACTGAAATTTTGGATAAACGTGAAAATTCTACAGGATTGGTACTTTCGTTTACATAGAACAGTGGACGAGACTATATTTACTGGCTTAAATGCCGTAACAGCAAAAAGAAGATAAACAAATTCTAAAGATAACAAATTATTGTATTTCATTAAGCCAAATAAGACCATAACGTATTATACAATTTACAAGATAAGTATATTCTAAATGTATGAAATAAAGTTGTATTCAAAACGAACGTCATTCCTTAAGAATCTCGGATCTTGTAGGGGGGGATCTTTCTTTTCCTCTCAGTTTTGTAGTGCAGTAATAAAGAACCAGTTGGTATATATATATATATATATATATATGCTGTTGATAATAATATTATTACAATAATATTAAACATATTAATTCAAGTGGCAGCAAATAAGATCGAAAGCTTCATCACTTTTTTCATTATAAATAATTGTTGAAACATGTGTGTGAGATTCACTTCGATTGGATGATAATATATCGACGAATGCAGGCCTTCAGGCTTTTCGATTAATACCGACGCATCACTTTTAGTAATATACAGGGTGTTCCATTTTAAAGGACCCACTGAAATATCTCAGAAACACTGCGTTAAATCGAAAAATGCTTAAGACGAAAGTTGTTTAGCTTGAAGGGAGACATAGGACAGCGATAGCATTTTGTTTATAGATGGCGCCACTTTCGAGATATTCACTGATCATCAATTTTCTTAAATGGAAATCCAGTTTTTTATTATATCACCTTTTCCTACCAATTAATTTAAACAACTTTTGTCTGAAACATTTTTCTATTTGCTTAATATATTTTGAGATATTTAAGGAAAACTTGGTAACTTTTCCAACATTTACCTTACGATATCTCACTAACTATTCGTCGAAAGAAAAAATAGTATTAGACTTTTTTACTTTATTTACTATCAAGAATATATTACTATAATAGTGCCCTAACTTTTATTAATTTAATAATTTTGAAATTTCCAAAGGTCGATAAGTTAATAAAAGTTAGGGCACTATTATAGTAATATATTCTTGATAGTAAATAAAGTAAAAAAGTCTAATACTATTTTTTCTTTCGACGAATAGTTAATGAGATATCGTAAAGTAAACGTTGGAAAAGTTATTAAGTTTTTCTTAAATATCTCAATAAATATTAGACAAAAAAAATATTTCAGACGAAAGTTGTTTAAATTAATTGGTAGGAAAAGGTGATATGATAAAAATTTGGGATTTCCATTTAAGAAAATTGATGATCAGTGAATATCTCGAAAGTGGCGCCATCTATAAAATGCTATCGCTGTCCCCTATGTCCCCCTTCAAGCTAAACAACTTTTGTCTTAAGCATTTTTCGATTTAACGAAGTGTTTCTGAGATATATATTTCAGTGGGTCCTTTAAAATGGGACACCCTGTATATTGACTAATTTTATATCGTTAATTTGACAGATGACGCCAGAGGCGATAAATTATTGCGTGCCAGCATTATTTCGTGCCAGCATCTGAGATCTCCTCTGGAAGACTCTACAGCTGCTAGAAAGCGCATGATGTCGTGCCTTTGACAGTTTATTTCTCGTATAATTGTAAATTATTGTTTCATCTTGATTTTTCGTTTTTTATCAAAGATAACTGTTGTACTATTTATCGAAATAATCATTGCAATTGCTTGGTGGAAAGTCAAAATTTTTCAGATTAGATCCAATATTAATATCGAAGACAATCTTGTGAAAACGAATCCAACAAAATTCAAATTTGTGGACAACTTGAAGATCCGGAAATGTATTTTCGTTACCGTAAATTGTACGATTGTCTCAACTGACTATAATAAATACAACGGAAGAAAATGACCATACTCGACGACTTTTAACGGCGCATGATTCTCGCGACGCTCGAGTCGATCGAGTTGTTTGTCGGAAAATAAGCGGGGCTCAACGAACGAGTAGCTTTTCGGGCTAGTGAATTCGACGTTTCTCGGGAAACCCTTGTGAAAAAACGGCGAATAAAGCAAACGAGAGGAAACGACGAGACCAGACGACATATTTTGCGACTCCTTCTTTCTTTCCGTCGCGATGTCTGAAGCGTAACGATTAGATAAGGCCTCCGGTTCATAGTGCGTCCGAGATGCAACCTCATAAGAGACCGAGATGCCTGTGGATCGGCCTCAGTTAAAGCTGCGTGTGCAAACCGGCAATTATTAAGCGGACGGTGGTCGTCCGCGAGTCACTTCTTCTCCCCGAGCTGTCGTCGTCGCCGATCCCTGCATGCGGTGCGCGCCGCCACTACGATTTCTCGTCTCTCCTCACATCCGCCTCTGCTACCGCGGAGATCCGCGATAATCCATCCGATCCGGAAAGAAGAAGCGATCGATAGCGCGCCACGCGACCAAGAGCGCGAGAAAAACAAGAAGAAGAAGAAGAAGAAGAAGAAGAAGAAGAAGAAGAAGAAGAAGAAGAAGAAGAAGAAGAAGAAGAAGAAGAAGAAGCCGAGAAAAGCCGCGTCGTTTCTTCTGGCTGCTTCTTTGCCGCGGAGTTCACGTAACTTCGTCCTCGCAATTCCGTCCGTCCTCGAGAGATCGAAGTATGATTCCTGAGCAGAAAGATTTCCACAAATCGACTCGGCCTCGCGACTCGTGAACCAAGGCTCACCGCTGGACCGTCTCGGAGACGCGGCAAGGAGAGCAAGATGCCCGCCTGCTCCAGCGAGAATACCTCGAGATGGTCATCCAGTCCGCCGATGTCGCGGAGCAACAGCGTGTCGCCGCCGCTACCCAGCTCACCGTTGTCCACGTCGCCGCTCAGGATGTCGCCGGTGGCCACGTTAAAGCGCTCGACATCGTCGAACGTGTTCGCCTCGACGTCGCACGCACCACCGATCAGCCTGTTATCACGGGCATCATCCGCTTCGAACATGCCGATGCCGGTGATATTGTCGCAGAGACGGCAGCAGCAGTCGCACCAGCACCAGAATCATCATCAGCAGAGGACACAGACCGCAACGACGGATCGTCGCAATGTCGTGCAGGGCAACGGCTCCCCGCTGACGTGGATCTTCTCCTGGTACTTCGGCTTGCTGGCCGGCCTTTTCCGAGGTATCCTCAACGTCATCAGCTACGCCATTTGGGCACCAGCCCTTTGGGCCTCGGCCTGGGTATGCCTGTTCTGGGTGATCCTGCAGCTGCCACTGACCGCCCTCAAGTGGTTCATCACGGTGCTGCACACCCCGGCATACGAGCGCTCCCGTAACAAGCGCTGCGTGCTCATCAGCGGTGGTAGCACGGTGCAGGCGGTGCACCTGGCGCGGAACTTCTACAGGGCTGGCGCCCGCGTGGTCGTGTGCGAGCACGAGGGCCTCTTCGGCCTGGCCAGATTCTCCACAGCCTGCTCCAAGTTCTACACGATTCCGCAGCCGGGCGCCCGGAACGTCGTCGAGTACATCAAGGCGCTGCGCGACATCGTGCAGCGCGAGAAGGTCGCTTACTACATACCGGTGAGTGCCGCCAACACTGCCTATTACGACGCCTTGGCGAAGCCGCACCTCGAGATCATGGGCTGCGAATGCTTCGTGCCGGACGCCAGCGAGGTCACCGCGCTGGATGACCCGTTGGAGCTGCTGCGACGCTGCCGACTGCTCGGCTTGGCGAATCCTCAGCACTTCCTCCTGCGCTCCATGCAGGACCTGTCCACGTTGTACGATCAGAACACCTTCCGCACCGGCCGCTACGTCATGCTGGCCGCCGGCCCCGCCGGGATGCGCGATCGCGCCAAGGTCCTGCTACCACCGACCGCGCGCGAGTTCCGCAATCAGCAACACGAGATCAGCGAGATCCGGCCATGGGTGGTGATCCGTGACCCCGGCGGGGATCACTTCATCACATGCACCACCTTGAAGGAATCCCGCATTGTTGCGAACGTCACCTGCCGCGTAGATGAGGCGCGAGGGCTCATACCTGAGGAACGCCCGGAGGTGACGTGCTGGCTCGAACGCTTCTTCGCCCGCTCCTTCGGCAGTCGCGTCAACGGCCACGTGAGTTTCCGCCTGGCGGTGTCAGAGCAGACGGGCGAGCTGGTGTCCATCGGCTGCCGCGTCGGCGTCAGTTTACCGTACATCTGCCACACTGGCATACACCCTCGTCTGGTCTGGAAGCCCTGCAGACACTTCTCCAGGCAGAACTCAGCGGTGCTGGCGGCCACCGGCGGCGGTGGCGGCCCAGACAGGCATCCGCTGCTGTCGGACGCCGTGGCGAGCGTGTTCAAGCGGCAGAACAGCGAGGTGGCGAGCCACTTGCTGGGCACGGTGCTGGACAAGCGGGAGGCGCTCTTCGTCTATTGGGACCCGTTGCCCTATTGCGCTTATTATCACCTGCAGTTGCCCTTCGGCCGCATCGCCGCGATCATCAGAGCGCAACCCGCGCAGCACAATCCGCTGCTGACGGTGGTGCAGTAAAGAAGAGAGATTGTCACCCTTGGCTGGAGCCTCCGTAACCTCTTGGGAATATCCGCGCTTTCACGGACTGAGCGAGAGACCGTCTTCGTGAACTGGAAGTCAGGACACTGTCACGAGGGGATTCCGAGTGTGTACAGCTGGCTGACTGGCTGGCTGGCTGGCCGGCAGCCATTTGGCTGTCCGTAATCTCATCGACTTAGACAGTTTCGCGCATCGTCGTTGAGAGCAACGTAACCAAACGTGCCAAGAAGGTGATGATCTGAAAACGCTACTCGAGAGATGAGAGTTCGTACTTATTTTTTCATTGTGAGTAATTGTGCGGAGAGTGTGACGTTTATTTATTAGAGAGACGCTGTCACCTCACAGCGCGGCACCTCTTGCCGAGGCAGTCATCGGCAGAGAGTTATGTGCGACACGAGCGAATGTAAGAGACTTTTAGACGACTTAGTCGAAGTGTGAAGGGTGTGAGAGGAGCAGAAAGATAGAAGGAAAGAGAATGAGAGAGAAAGGGAGAGCATGTATATATGTGTACACGTACGCAAGTATGCTAATCCTACTTTACTAATTAACTACATACTAGTTGATAATCGTTAATATCTCATCCATGGGGATCGCGTTGAGATTCGAAGAGCGAGAAGTATATCCAGACGTCTTCCGACTCGTGCATAAGGAAAAAGGACAACGTTCAAAGTCGCAAAGTGAAACATTACGATCGCAGAGCAGATGATCGCGGTCGCTCGTAAAAGTCTCGAATGAAACTTAAATGACACCGCGAGAGTGAATGAAAAATAAGTGCAAAGGTCAAGTTCAACTGTATCGCGTTAAAAATACGCTGCTCTTCTCGGCGCCTCATCATCGTTGCGCTCGCTCCGGTCCGGTTCGGATTAGTCGGGGCAACCTGTCACGATCGCGCAAAAGCGACATGCACGGATAAAGGAGAAATAAAAAAAAGCATACGTGTGGATCGCGCATCAAATAAACGATTAGATATACGTTATAAAATAAACGATTAAGTAAGAGCGGAGACTTTATTTGCGCGTGGAAATGTTTTTGTAATAGGCTAAAACACGTCTAGCGGCCGGCGCTCTTCTGCTTCTCGACATTCCTGCGCGAACTTTAACCGACCATTAAGATATACGGGTATTGACAAAATGAGTAATTGAAAAATGATCAATAAATAATTAATGAGTCCCCATACACCTTATATTTTAATAAAAAGTGATAGAACGCCGGCTACCTGTCTCCTTCTTGAAATTGTTTAAGGGGGGAGTTACATGCGAAGCAAGCCGTTTTCAAGGGTATGTTTATGAATTTTTTTAACACAAACAGTAGGATCAATGGATTTGAAATTTTCACAATGTATTCATTAATGTTCAAAGTATAAAATAAATTTGTTACCATCTGTATAGAAAGTACACATAAAACTTTAAACACGTTTATCTGGAAACACCATTTTCTTAAACTGTCGACACGATTACGCAAAAGCTATTGAACCGAATAACTTGAAATTTTTATACACAATATACAGTAGACATGTAATTTTCGCCCCTATCTCGAACACAGTTATATTTTATTTTATTCATTTTTTTAAACATGATTACAAGTTGAGAAAAGTTTTATTTTCGATACCTTTTTTTGTACAGTCATTATTTTTTCAAACTTGGCTTCACTGTCATTTTAGTGCGGGCTATAATGTGGTAACCGTATATTTTCAAAATCTTTTTTAGTTTTTCGGTTTTAGAGTAGTGAGAGGCCCGGAATTGTGTGGACAGCAAACATAGAGCTCGCAAACGGATAACTGCATTTTTATCTGTAATTACAAATTGGATCGGTTCTTGTGATTCAATAAAATTTATTTTATACTTTGAACACATTAATGAATACACTGTGAAAATTTCAAATCTATTGATCTTACCCGTTTCTGTTAAAAAAATTCATAAAAATAGCCTTGAAAACAGCCTTCCGCATGTAATTCCTCTCTTAAGGAGCAGAATCGCAAAGGCTGTTTGTGATCGGCCACTGTGCGTTTTACCATATTCTTCGATCGGTTGCACATATTTCCGAGCAACGAACGTTTTCATAAGTATTCGTGAACAAATACAGCCGGTTGAAGTCGATTCTGCGACGATCAGTGACTCAATCAAGATCGCCGGATGTGAAAGAAAGACCAAAGTTAGTAGAGATCGAAATAGTACTCGATGAATCAGACTGGAAGAATTTGCACGAATGACACCTGCGACTTCTTTGCCTCTCTGTTTCCATTTTCTTTCCTTTTTCTTATTTTCTTTTTAGAGCAGAGTACAGAAGGATAATTTTGTGGTTGCACGACATCCAAGTTGCCCGTTGCATCATCGAGTTCCGGATTGCGTTCTAAAAGAGCAATGACCAACATATGTCATTATGCGATCGTATCGTCGATCAGGTCGGGATTCGTTCGAGAAATCGCATTGTTTGCTCCTCGCTTACGCACGCATTAGCGAGCACGCGCTGGGTGCAGACAAATGCGTTTCACGAGTGTGTGAGACGCTGGTTGGCTGACGGAATTCATAATCTCCTTGCGATGCGAGATGTACGCGTGCGAGGCTGTAAATAATACCCGTTATAGATAGAATGACCCGGGGGCAACACTGGCTGACGGACTTTGACAGCTTGGGGTCGCTAGTTCGCGGAGAGAGAGAGAGAGAGAGAGAGAGGGTGAGAGCAAGGGTGAGGACGAGAAAGAGATGCCAGCTCGTTGCCGGTATCATCTGCCTTTCTTCTCCTTTTTTCACCACTTCTCTCCCTTCGACCTCTCTCCTCCCAGATGCATTTCACTCTCGTCGGCCACTTCTTTCCACAAGGAGATAGACACTCGCGCCGACGTTGTCGAGAACAATCGATTCAGCAACGTCAAATTGCAACCCCCCGTTGCTAACTGTCCGTGGTTCGAGTAATTAATCTCGAGTAGAGATAGCACCGGTCTCTCATCACGATTCTGTGTTGCGTTCGCGCTGCGTTGCAGATATAAACCAAAGGAAAAATCGTGAATGAACTCTCGCCGATGCTTTGGTTTAACTTTTATTTAAATCTGGTGTAATTAAAAGAAACACTATGTAGTTATGAGCAACTTTGTTTTCCTATTCTCGGCGCCTCGCGTACTTCGCCTTCGGAATAGTTTTCGGTGATCGTAGGAACAGTCGAGGGATTGTGGCAAGCGAGTGGAAATGCCAGCGGCAGTGGAAAACTCCGGTCTGATAAGACGCGAAAACTGTTTGGCAATAATTTTATCTCGTCGTCACGTGGCTATGTGTGGTGTCAAAAATTACGCTAACTCAGACGGAACAGCCGGGCAGCGCCGGCAGTTCCAGATACGAAGATCGTATTGACGGCTGCGACTCGTCGCTAAGCATCGTGTAAAACACGAAGCGTGTGAATCAAAGTTATTTTTAAATAGGGAAGATTATCAAGTACGAACGAACCGTTCCAAATTAACGCGAAGCACCGGTCCGTTCTTCGTCTCGAAGGGGTGACAGATGAAATTAAACTCGCTTTGCGAGTCTTGTTTGAGCAAGCTGCGTTCTATTAACGCGACGAGCGAGATTTATGGCATTTTACAGCTGTTTCAATATTTCTACGTAAGTATAATTTTGATTAATTATAATTAATACACGTACACACTCACACAAATATGTGACGAGAGAGGCTTGTTCGATTGTCCTGCGATCTTTCTCGAGATTGGAATCTCCTTCCGCCTACATGTTAATTAATACAAACGATTCTCGATAAATCCATGCAACATCGCTGTGCGATCAATGAAAATAGAAACACGAGCAACGCATTTTTTTCTCTCTCCTTCCTCTTCGAGACAGGAAGCCGGAGATTCGGACAACGGCGGCAATAAAGTGTGTAACGCAATCTTATCATGCGATAATATTGAAATGCAGTTCCTTGACGACGGCCGGTGAAATAAATCGATATGCCGTTTCCCTTCCCTCATTTTTTACTCTCTTTCAAGAGAAACATGCGATAAAGACGTCTATCTTTCTCATGGGCATACACGAGCTCTCATTCACGCGGCTCTCACGTTCGCCTTGCTGCCATCTGGTTTTAGTTGAGAAACCAGCTCAGCGCTCGCTCAAAGATCCACCTTAAGGAGGTTAACCCTTTAATGATTGATGTTCTATTTTTATAATAAAAATTATAAGATTGAGAAATCACTTCGATGGCAATATAAGAAGCACTCTAGCAAAATCAGACAGAATGATAATAATAATTTATTAATAATATTGATCCCTTTGACTTACGTAGCGGCCGCAAGCGATGGAGATTGAAAGAGCACTAGTGTGCAAAGAATTTTCACATGCTACGTCTTCTGATGAAGCAATTATATAAAAAATAAACTGAACAGGACACAGAAGATCGACGAACTTCTGCTTGCTGTCATGGAACAGTGAGAATTCAGCCATAGTTGACGCTTCTATCGAAAATATTAATCTTTCAGAGAACAAAGTCCCGATCGTCAGGTGTTCTATTTATTATTATGATTCGTTAAAGTTAAGTTCTCGTACCGATTGGTCGATTGAATTCTTAGAGTTGGAACTTGAAGGAAACCACAACTGCGGCTTGAAACGGCGGAACGTAAAACACAAAAGTTACGTATATCCTCGCGCTTCACCAGACCGATTCGGGACAAGGCCTCGAACGAGATCCTCGCGCGACTCTTTGCCACTTCGATAAAGTAACGATAGTTTCGGCTTTTCTTCCGTGGATTTCGCTGTAACAAAGCCCACGATCCGTAAAAGGACTCGCTAAAAGCCACTAACTCGGCTTAGCGGTGTGGAATGAGAAGTAAAGTCATTTCCTTGGGCAAGGCGCGCGCCGCGTGGTTCCAGGCACGGCATTGTGTGGGAACGGATTCACCTGGCTGGCTGGCATACCTACGATGTCCGCTTACTGCCAACCAGCTACTTATTATTTACCGCCCATGGGAAAAATTTTTATTGAATATATATACCACATTGTGTACCGCATAACTGAGATATATTCATGCCAAAGTCCAAACTTATATATCATCTCGCGTAGAAAAATTAATAGGGCTCTGGTAAGGGCCTAATTATTTTTCTCTAACATCAATCAGGTCCTAGTAGGGATAGAAAGACAAGGGCCCTACAAGATGTGTAACATAAATGGATTAACGAGTTCTTACAAGGCAATATTATAAAGGCTTTATAAGACAATATCAACAAGCCTTTATAAGACAACATTAATAGGGCCTTGTAAGGAAATATTTTTATTATTGCTGTAGTAAAAATATTCGTTCTTTTCATTCCAAAAAATTTAAACTATAATTTCTTTATTTTTTTATAATCTTGTTAGTATACAATAAGAATTTTTTATTTTAAAAATATACATTACAATACATACTTTACAATAAAATATAGCATTCTTTACACATAAAAATCCTGCTACTGTTTTTATTAAAGTTTTCTACATTTCAAAACGAAGGCAATATTAGAAAAATTCTTGGAAGAGACTAATGAATATGGCAGCTAATAGAATTAATAAAATTTGTTTTTAATTGCGGTATAATTAAAAATATTTAAAAGAACCAGACAGAGCGTACCTACTAAAACAATACTAAACTATGACAATTTTATTACACGCTTCAAATCTTATTAATTTTCTATAACAATACTTGATTTTGTATATCTAAAGCATCCTTAAAAGATCCTTCTAAGGCCTACATCAGTTTTCCATGTTAAAGCGTTATTTCATAAAATCTAAGGCATCCTTAGAAAATTCTTCTAAGGCTCTTATCAATTTTCCCTCTATCAAAGTCTTATTTATTCGATCTAAGGCATCCTTAAAAAATCCTTCTAAGATCCTTCTCAGATTTCCCTACCAAAGCTTCATTTATTAAATATAAGGCATCCCTGAAAGATCCTTCTAAGGTTTTTATCAGTTTTCTTATCAAAGCCTTATTTATTAAATCTACACTGAGAAAAATATCCGAAATATCCGATTGTTAATTTCGTTATCCGGTCAAATATCCAGTGTATTTAATCGGATATTTGATCGGATAACAAAATTAACAGTCGGATATTTCTGATATTTTTCTCCGTGTAAGGTATTCCTAAAAGATCCATCTCAGAGCCTGATATGGTGCGAGGCACTTTTTTAGGGTATCCTATTTTTAGCCTAATTGGGACCTTATGCTTCATGAGGATGACCCTAACAATTTTTTGCTCGGAATGTAGTTTCTCATATTACTCTCATAAATTTCGAATAATATGAGTATATCTTAGTTGGACAAGGTAGTATGATATTCTTCAATATGTATATATATGTTGATATCTTCTAGAAAATTTCTCTTCGTATACTGTGTAGGTTGATGATAATACGAGATTCAGTGTCATATCTTCTTCTTTTCTCTCTCCACTCCTGGCGCCGCACTTTTCGCGTCGACACAACCTGGAGGAGATACTTATACTTCGCCAGAGAGACATAGAAATATCACGCACAATGTTTATCGTCAATTAATCCACGTACAATAAATCGCAATTGCGAAGATTATCGTAATTTTATGTAATTATTGTGCAGGATATAGAGAGAGGCACACAAGTCGAAATATTGCAAGCCTTTTGCGACTCGATTCGAGTTTCGCTGCGTGCTCTCGCTTATTGCTAGGAGATTGTTGTCGAGAGAGAATTGCTAAAATTGTCGGCAACGTGGCGACGAGCAATTTCCAACAAAGACTGCACCCTCTCTCTCTCGCTTTGACTTGTCATAAACTTCTGCCCCTATACCGGCTCCTCCTCATTTCCTGCGGCAAACGTCCTGAATCACCCTTACGCGGCTGCATGAACTAAAATCACGATCGTTGGGGTATGGAATAATTGTGTATACGCGTGTCCGTAGGATATACAGCAATACAGTCGATTTAACATCGAATTTGCAAGTTCCTTACTTACCTTCCGGTATATCAATTCGACGATTAAGTTACACGGAAAAAAAAACGGTTAAATTAACGTGACAATACATGAAACAAAATTCAGAGAAATCGGATTTCTGCTTCTTGTGAAACAAGTTTGGTCCCAAAATCCCAAGTAGAAAAAGACAAGTAGAAAAATTACTAGGGCTCTGATAAGGGCTTGATTATTTTTCCCTAGTATTAATCGGGCCCTAGTAGGGATAGAAAGACAAGGACCCTACAAGATAGGTAACAAATAGCTTAACGGGTCCTTACAAGACAATATTATGAGGGCTTTATAAGGCAATATTAACAGAGCCTTATAAGGCAATATTAAGAGAGCCTTATAAGGAAATATTTTTATTATTACTTGAGTAAAAATATTCGTTCTTTTTATTCCAAGAAATTTAGATTGTAATTTCTTTATTTGTTTATAACCTTGTTAGTACACAACAAGAATTTTTTATTTTAAAAATATAAAGTAATTTACAATAAAATATAGCATTCTTTACACATGTTACGTCCTGGAGGAGGAACGCAACTTGACGCTTGCTTTCACAAGTTCCGACGTACTCACAAATCTGCGGTGCAGATCAAGAATCGGAATGATTCCTTTATCTGGCGCGAACGTACGTCAGTGGTCCTTTATTTACCAGGTATGTCGGTAATTACTTTCCGGTAACAGATATCACTAGCCATAAGTATGCAATGTTATGATTTGATACATATGTCATTTTATTCTACTGACATTAACCTCAAAACTACACAAATTACGTTCCGCCAAAATAACAGCGTTATAGATTAATAATTTTTTGAAAATGTCGAGTTTTGTACCTGAAAAGTAATGCGTGCATTTGCGGCACGCATTACTTTTCTTGCTTAATCAAAAGAAAGAAGCCGCTGAAAGTCATCGTTTGCTGGTAGAGACTTACGGTGAGCATGCTCCAACCATAAGAACATGTGAAACGTGGTTTCGACAATTCAAATGTGGTGATTTCAACGTTCAAGACAAAAAACGTCCTGGTAGGCCGAAAACGTTTGAAGATGCGGAATTGCAGGAGTTATTGGATGAAGACCCAACACAAACTCAAAAACAATTGGCAGAAAAGTTGAATGTGAGCCGAGTAGCAATTTGTGAACGATTACAAGCGATGGGAAAGATCCAAAAGATGGGAAGATGGGTGCCACATGAATTGAATGACAGGCAATTGGAAAATCCAAAAATCGTCAGTGAAGCTGCTTCAAAGGTATGAAAGGAAGTCATTTCTGCATCGAATAGTAATGGGTGATGAAAAATGGATTTATTTCGAAAATCCCAAGCGAAAAAAATCATGGTTATCACCTGGCGAAGGCGGCCCATCGACTGCAAGGCCAAATCGCTTTGGTCGCAAGACCATGCTCTGTGTCTGGTGGGACCAGGTTGGTGTCGTATATTATGAACTGTTGAAACCTGGAGAAACAGTTAATATTGATCGCTACCAACAACAAATGATCAATTTGAACTGTGCATTGATCGAAAAACGTTCACAATACGCTCAAAGACATGATAAGGTGATTTTGCAGCATGACAACGCGCCGTCTCATACAGCAAAACCAGTCAAAGAAGTGTTGAAATCACTTGGATGGGAAGTTTTATCGCACCCGCCGTACTCTCCAGACCTGGCT